CAGCAGTGCAAGTCTCAGCTGCTCCACTTCTGATCCTGCTCCCTGCTAATGTGCCTGGGAAAGCAGCAGAGATGGCCCAAGTGCTTGGGCCTCTGCACCACGCAGGAGACCTAAAAGGAGTTCCAGGCTCCTGGCTTCAGCCTGGCCCAGCCCCAGCCATTGCAGCATTTGGGGAGTGAACCCACAGACAGAAGTTCTCTCTCTCCTGTCTCTACCTCTCTCTCTGTAACTCTGTCTTCCAAATAAATATATAAATAAATCTTTAAGAAGCATACCTACTATGGCTTTTTTTTAATACAACATAACAGCTGCCTCTCCAAGCCTGTCTGGCTGCTCTGATGAGTGGTCCTTTCTCTGAATATTTGCATTCATTTACCATATGTGTACATAGCCACACCAGTATGTGTTCCTATTTGTGTCCCTTTAAATATTACATAAACTGTATCATTTTATACAACTTCAAATTGCTTTATTCCACCAATCATTACCGCCACAATATACTAGATCAATTCATTCTCCTTTTGGACAGTTAGATTGTTTTCAGCTTAATCAAACGACGCTACAATATTTTAGCCTCCTTATATACTTGTGTGCCTTTTTTGATGTGTAGTTTGACACATGAAACTGTTAATATTCAAGAATTTTGACCTAATGAATGGAAAATCCCTACAGCCTCACTTACACCTAGAAATGAAAACAGCAGTGAAGGGTAAACCACCTTCAACCCAACCGGTGACAGTTCTGAAAGATAGTTCTCAAAAAGCTTATTGTACATCAATAGCCACAGCATGAGCACCATGTTCACAGCCAGGAAATGACTCCATTACACAGAGAAAATATGTCTTCTGCCCATGAAAGGGAAGGAAGGGCACAGAGCAAGAATCTGGAAGCTTCCACGTGACTGTGGCGTCTACCGAACTTTAAAGATGCTGCTATGCTTCATTTCAAACCCTAAAGCTTTCCTTTTTCTTTTCTTTTCTTTCTTTTTTTTTTTTAAGATTTTTATTTATTTACTTGAAAGACAAAGTTACAGAGAGAGGAAGTTCTTCCATCCACTGGTTCACTCCCCAGATGGCTGCAATGGCCAGGGCTGGGCCAAACCAAAGCCAAGAGCTTCTTCTGGGTCTCCCACATGGGTCCCAGGGACCCAAGTGCTTGGGCCACCTTCTGCTGCTTTCCCAGGCACATCAGCAGAGAAGCGGATCAGAAGGGAGGCAGCCAGGACTCACACTGGCACTCATATGGAATGACGGTTTCTCGAGTGGCAGCTTAACCTGCTGTGCCACAACACTGGTCCCCAAACCCTCAGGTTTCCACCGTCCCCCAAGCCTAAGACATCGTAGATGGCTCAATAAAAAACCGATGCATTCTTCTAGGAGGTCTGTTCAGTTAAGTTTAAACTCTGGTCTCTCAGGAGCATCCCCAGAGCATATTTGGACCTACAAATCACAGAAAGCCAACGTGACCGTGGCTTACTTGTAGCCCTCATTTCTTAACTAGAACCAGAGAAGACAGACAGGGGTGGGCAGAAGCAAAAGGAATTTCTCAAAACTTCTGTATTGGTTCCATTTCTGAACTCAAGGCATACAAGCCCTGTATTAACACAGGAAAAGATAAACTGATGTTTGCATTCTCGATTTCTGTACTAGTCCTGTAGATGCCTCAGTAATTACACCCAGGTCACCTCCACTGGAATTATCACACTGCTTATATACCTATAATAATTACACACTCCTTGCCTTGTAAAATCTATTGCCAGTGCTTGCTGCTCACCACATTAAAGCACCAACACCTGTTTATCAAAGATGATGCCTGGATGCTTGAAAGTCATTTTTGCAAGTGTCCTGATCACCCTCCAACCTCAAATATGGTCCCAATAAACACAAAGCACAGCACCGGGCCTTAGAGTCCTGGATCTAATGGCTTAGATATTCGTCTCTGGATGACTGGTATTTGGAGATTTTTCTTTACTGCTTCATTAAATTCAGCTTTATGCACTTTGAATATACAAGTATTATGAAGTTGTATCTAAATCAGCTGTGTGTTACTACAGTATCAACCCCCTTTCAACACACCAATGACTTAACAACAAACGCACAGTCATGCATCGCTTAGCAAAGTACAAAGACGCGTGTCTGTCACTGGTCCAAACACTGCTACACAGCACGCGACGCAGTTCTCTTATGCTTATGTTTCTAGAGGACTGTGGGTTGTCTATGGTTACACTGGTTTCCACTCAGCCCCACACCCACTCATTTCCAGTGGCCAGAGCAAGGGCTCAAGGTCAGGGAACCAGGAGAGCATACTGGAGAAGACGGGAGGCAGGGTGAGTCACGCCCCGCAGGATGGGGAAGGCACAACACCTGTGGTGGTGAAGTCACCCGACAACACCACCACCAACACCACCGGTGTCTCAAAGCCCCTTTGGGCCAATGATAGAAAAGGAAAAGAATACAATGTAAACTGGGGCTCATTCAGGAAAACTTTGAATTTTGAAGTCACATGAAATCTGACACACTGAGTGTCATAAATACCACAAGGCCCTACGGGAGAAGTCAGGTCATTGACAGTTTTTTATTTCCGTTTTCCCAGGTTAAGTCACAATTTGCTTTCCCATTAGACTAGAAGGTGATGAACTTACTTCTTAGTAGCACAAAAGAAAGCGGTCCTGCCCTTGCCCAAAACATGCATATGTGTTGTCTTCTCTTTCTCATGACTGGGCTCACTGCAGGGGGGTGGGGGGACCAACAACATTCTTGAGGGCCACACTTGGATATTTGTGGAGCTTATTTGGAATCAAGTCTTACAAACCAGGCAAATGAATGGTCAAGGTGAGTAACAGCTGGAAATGAACCAAAGCATTACCAGCATCCAGCAAATGAGTAGAGTTCTTGAGTAGCTTGCAAGCTGACTTTTTAGGTAACCCCAATTGAACATTTCCAGGACTGAGTTTAGCACTGGCAACATCACTGCTATAAATGCTTAGTCCCTTAAAGTGATACTTGAAAAAGGAAAATCCAGCTCAAATTCTGGGTTTTGTTACTATTTTTTTTTGTCTTTTAAATTTTCATTCTCTCTCATCTTCCTGTGTGTCCTTCATAGTGACAGGTGGTAGTACCCATGTTTAATATTTGTTTCTGTCCTCCACAGCAAGCCAGCCCAAGTCGCTCAAAATGGCACAAGAACTCTGAGCACTACCAGAGATCCTAGTGATTCGTACATTTGTATGGAGATGCGGGGTCAACTGCTCCTTGGCCAATTTTCCTGAATTCACCTGGTAGTTAGCACCTGAGAGCACACAGGTAACTCTTGAACACCAAGCCACAGACAACTGACAATCCCCATGCCCATCCTAGTGGACACTCCAAAGAAAACTGCGCTAGGGGACAGCAAACTAATGATAGCAAAGCTATAGGGCTCTGATAAAACAAATACTGCTCAACGACAGGTGTGTAGTACAAACTTGACGCATAAAGAATTCCTAAAGCTCATAGCAGTACATGCAGGCACTGAGACTTTTAAGCTGTGCTTGTGAGAAGGGATATCCAGGAATCTGATGAGGACAAATCATGCAGCTCCTGGAACAGGGAGCCCCATTGAGAAATCTGGCCCTGGCGGGCACCCAGCTACAACCTCAATCCCCTCAGCATTTGGGTGCATTGTTAAGATACGGCTTGGCACACCCCCATCCCAGATCTGAAGGGTCTAGGTTTAAGTCCCAGCTCCAACCCCTTTCCAGATAACGTACATCCCGGGGCGGGCGGGGTGGGGGGAGCAGCAGGTAATGGCTCAAGAAGCTGGGTTTAGACATTGCCACTGGCTGGGAGACTCGAATTGAGCTCCTGGTGCCTGTCTTCAGTCTGGCCCAGCCCTGGCTGCTGTGGGTATCTGCAGGGAGTGAGCCCGTGCCTGGAAGCGCGCTCTCTCACTCTCTACCTTTTCAACACATTTTTAAAAGGACTGCTCCAAGCCTGCCTCTGTGTAGCCTGAACCTGAAACTGTCTGGCTTGTAGCCCCCCTTTCCTTCCCCGCTGCCCTCCCCTCCTCTTTTACAGGAAAGGAGGCGGGATGATAAAAATGGAAGAAAAGAGGAGGAGTCCATAGGGGCGACGTGGGGCAGAAACATCACGGCCAGGACCCTCCAGAGCAGCCCGGGCAGCCCGCTTCCGCCACGGCCACTTTGTACATTTGGACTCTTGCTGCCCAGGCCTCTTGGTAGCATCTCTTCACCATCCTTGCGCTCTTCCGCGGCCTTGCAATCGAAACTTCTGGGGGCCAGGAATGTCATCCATTTGGATCTGATCGCAAGGAAAGAAGCGCGGACACAAGTCCTCGCCGGCTGCTTCGCTGTGCCCCTCTCTGCCGGGCTCCGAAGGCAAGCGACCCCCCCGAGCGCTGCCGTGGGATCTGCCACCGAGACGCACAGGGGACCTCGGGGGCTTCCCTGGGACGCCCCGCGCCGCAGGTGTGCGATTACCTGCCTGCCCCCCCACCCCGGCCCCCAAAGCCAACTCCAGGCGCGCACAGGCGGGGACCAGCCCCCATCTGCCTCGGGAAACCAGTGCAGCCATCTCCCCGCGGCTGCGAGGGCCGCTGGTTGCACGTTTTGCTAAAAGAAGGCCAGCGAACACCCTTCTCTTACTTCCTCATATATTATGTCCTCCCCTGCCGAGTCCAGGGACCTAGTCTGGATTTGGTAACCGAAGTAATATAAATGTTAGCTAAGAAGCATTCCCGCAATGTGGTTCCAATTTAGGCTCGTTTTGAAGTCTAAAGGGCCAATATGTCTCCTGGATTCTCCGCTGGACATTAGCGCTAATGTGATTTGCGGAGGGCCGCGGGCCGCGCCGGGGCCGCGAGCGAGCGAGCGAGCGAGCGAGCGAGAGAGCGCACGGGGGGCGCGGTCCCAGGGCCCCGGGAAGCACGCGTTCGCCGGGAGCGCGCCCCCCTACCGCGTTCCAACTCGAGGAGGGGGGCTCGCTCAGGAAATGGTCTTATACCTGCCAGGGTTGCCGATGCAGGGCGCCAGGGGAAGTGCTGCACCTTGTCACCACCCTCGCTCTGGAAGCTGGCGGCCCGCGTGCACCGCAGCCTCTCGCGGCACCGCCGTTTGCACTTGGCTGCGATCGCAGCCTTCCCAGCGCGGGCGTGCCTGGCGGAGACCCGCAGGCCGCGGCAGGGCTGCGCCAGCGCGCTCTCCAGGAGCCCCGCGCGCCGGCACCAGGCCCTCGGCACGCACACACACACACACACACACACACACACACACACACACACACACCAGCCGCATTCCCGTAATGAGCAGCCCCACCCCCACCCCCGCCCGGGAACCGCCTGCCCTTTATCTTGCTGGGGACACCCGCACCTTTTGAACTGCCATCTGTAGATTGTGTTGGTGCACTGACTTGTTAACTGTGCCATGCTGTGAAGGAAATGGCATGATTTAGATCAAGTGCTCGGGACGGCTGTTCATAAGAAACACTTGAGCCGAGCTGTTGCTGCTGAGAATGTGCCCTGGGGAGAGGGGTTCCGTTTCGGGTCACCGTCCAGCCTTGTACGCGGGCAGGCGCAGAGCGCCTCAATCCCCGCGTTCCGCCGGCGCTGCAGCGAGGGGGCGGGGAGCGGCGTTATGAAACCATAGAGGCCAGGCTGCCAAATTAACTTCTCACCCTTTCAATCACACTCCAGAGGATAAAAGCCCAACGTTTCTGCCTCAGATACAGGCTCGGTTTACACCAAACAAGTTATTTCTCTAATTGGTCAGCCCAGCCTGCTCTCCTTCTAATGACTGAAACCTTCAGCTGTGTGCGCAGCCAGCCGCCCCGGGAGGTGCGCGCCTAGCGCTGAGCTAGGGGACGCGTGTTGCAAGGTTTCCGTGGCCAGCATGGCCCCCACGACCCGCTTATCAAAGTAAACACAAAGCACAAAGTTTCTGGCCTGAGCTGTTTGGTGTTCCTGCAAATGTGCTCGCTGGCCCCAAGGGGCAGAGATAAAACCGACAAAGCACATGTTGCAGGTAAGCAAAGACCCTGAAATCTTCACACACACACACACACACACACACACTCACACACACCACCACCACCACCACCACCCCCAATCCCAAGTATCTCTAAGTAAAGTTTAATTAGGAAGCCGACAGTAAGAGGGAGAATTAGGGAGGGGAAGAGGAGAAGGAACCCCTTGACTTAATTCACGACTCCCAGGCTAATTCCAAGGACACTGATTTGTCCATTATATGGAAATAGATGATTAGGGTCATTCTCTAAGACAAATTTACTTTTCTGCACACTCTAAATCTGGTTAGTCACTTTAAAGGTGTCAATTATTGGAACAGGCTAAGACTATGAATTTCTTAGTAATAGCTTTAATAACATTTTGAAATGAAAAGCAGATACCTTGAAGTCAGCCTACTTTGAAAAGACATAGGCACGGCTCTGGTTTTAATTTGGGTAGCATTCTACATCTGGAATCCCTTATAATTAAAACTAAGAACCCAACTACGACTTCCACCTGTCAAATGATGAAAAGATGAATGTACTAATAAGTTACTAAATAGCGCAACATGATAGAGTTTACATTCTCATTCTGTACAGTAAAACCGAATTCCGCACAGGAGGCTAAAGGTCTTTGGTCATTACTAATAACACTCTTTCACTATTAACCTATATGTCCCACTGCAATTACTGACGGCTCTTTTCTACATCAAGAGCTAATTTTCATTAAGCCTTTGTTTGAAAAGCAAACATAGGTCTCACAAAGAATATTTAAAAGACCTAAACGGAGAGGTACTTTTCATTGTGTTTCCATTGTTGTTGAAACCTTAATGCCTTTTCTAATAGGCATGTGGTTGTTAAATGCAGCATTCACAAATATTTATTAAGCACCGACAGTATACAAGGCATCGTCCTCAGCCCTCGGGGCCACAGCAGTGAGCAAGATGTATCTTTGTAGCTAACTTAGACTTGAGAAAACTTGCAGTCATTTCTTCTCATTTCTTCAAAATAACAAAAGTCACTCTTTTTTTTTTTTTTTTTTTGCTCAGATTCTGATAAGGAGAAGCAATTTTCTAAAGCTTTTGCTGTCACTCCAATTAAAACAATAGGCATTAAACTGCCCTTGGACTGTCACTGGTGATCAGAAGGCTAATGATTTTAAAATGTAAATCCTGAGCTGTAATCCCTATAGAAGCTGTTTGCAACAGCTCCCCCCTCCCAGGTCGAGCTGTGTGGTGGCCCCCGGAAGGCTTATTTTTCTTATTACAGAGTCTCGCTTCTCTGTCGTGAAATAAAAATGGAAATATTGCATTTCGAAAAGAGCATTGATTTCCTGGGGGGAAAAAATGATGAAGGGCTTGCCAGCAATCGAAGGATCCTTCCACAAGACACGGGCGCTGCTTTCGGCGGGGGAGGTGGGGGGGTGGGGGGACCTAACCATTCTGTTCAGCACAGGAACCACGTGGTCACGATGAACCAAGTTCTCCCTGTGCGCCAGTAAACCCAGAAAAAGACTTGCAATCTGCCTTAACTCTTTTGGGTCATTGGGGACTCCACTGAACTATGGCTTTCATACCCCTTGCTGGACATAGCTCTGTTCCAGTAGAAGAAACGTAGGATTTGGCTGCCTCACGCTGGTTCTGAGGCACAGGTCACAACCCATGGCTTCCATGCAGCCTGAAGACATGCCTCTTGTGGCCAGCATATTGTTTTGAAACTCAGGACCCAAGTGTTTGTTGATGGATGTGTGGATAAAGAAAATGTGGCATGCCCCTGCAGTGGAATACTATTTAGCTTCAAAAAAGAAGGAAATTCTGACCCATGCCACATACACGTGGATGAGCACTAAAGACACGGTGCTATGTGAAATGTGTTGTGTGACTGCATGCATGTGAGGCAGCTAGTCAAGTTCATAGAGATGGGAAGTAGTATGGTAGATACCAGCAACTGCAGGGGCAGGAACGAGGAGTTGCTAGCTAATGGGCAGTTTCCATTTAGGAAAATCAAAACAGATTCTGGAGATGAGCCCGCCAAAGTGCAGATCTACTTAATTTCATGCAACTGCACAGCTTAAAATGGTTGAAATGGGAGCGGATCTTTGGCATTGTGTCTTGGGATGCCTTCATCCCATAGCAGAGTGCCTGAGTTCAACTCCTGGCTCTGCTCTCCATTGCAGCCTCCTAAGGGACATCCTGGGAGGCTTTGGTGATTGCGCCCTGCCATCTCCAAGGGAGACCCAGACTGAGTTCCAGGCTCCTGGCTTCAGCCTGCCCCAGCCTTGACTGTTGTGGCCATTCCACGAGTGAACCAGCATCTGGGAGCACTTTCTCCCCTTCTGTTTCTCTGCTTTAAATAAATATAAACAAATAAAACTTTTCTAAAAATGGTTAAAATGGACAAATGTTAACTTACATGTATTTTACCACAATCAAAAAAAAAAGCAAACAATTTTACACTAAAATGGGTATCTACAATTTATCTAGAAACAAAGAACTCTAAGTATTAACATTAGCCAGCATGTCTGAGCGCTAACAAAAATTGAAGTTGAGTAACCCTTGCCCCTTGAAATGTGTGTCCCGGGTCACCATGGGGCCCCATTCCTCCCTCTCATCTTCCACCCACCCTTCTTGCCTCACTTAGGCCACCTGCCAGGCCCCTGAGGCCATCTTCAGGGCCCTGTGTATAGCTCCCACATGTACATCACCACCAGTAACCCAGCCTACCGCAGATATAGATGAGGCCAGATGGGAGGCGCAAGACGACATCCAGGACAGAGAGGCAGCCGTCTCCTGCAACATGAACCCTTGGCAACCCGCTGCATATACCAGCTGAGGGGAGGGGACCCTGGCTGCCACACCGCGAAGACGTACTGAGCCACGCTTCCCCACTGCACCCTTGCAGACCCAGCCGTAGCTAGGTGCATGCATGCGAGCTGGCCCACTCTGCAGGAGGAAGAGGCTTCTTCTTGTCTGGTTCTCTGATGGTGACTTTATATAAATTTATGACAGATTTTGTAGCCCAGAGTCAAGGAGCAATGAATTTAAGGATCTTTATTGAAGTCTGGATTATCCCCAAACTGTGAACTTTCCTTCTAAGCCACCGGCTGTCCAAGGGTTTTCCCCCTCTGAAAGGCTACTGTCAAATGGGCATTTTAAAGCATTTATCAAAAACCAATGGCTACAAACTTCAGTCTGTGCATTCCATACAGAGTAAAACCCCAGCCCAGTGTTGATGCATCAATGATGTGTTGGTTTAATCTATTTTTCACAGGGGGTGTCTGAGAGGAGGCAAATTAGAAACAGGTAGAACGGGCTATTATTACTGTGCCATAGTGTGCTCTTTTACATGCGGTCTGGATTAAGATAACATCTGGTCCATATTTCTTGAACTATTTCCCTTTTATCACAAGAAAAATCGGCAACCCATCTCACAACTGCTCTTAATTTAGATCTAAATATCACTGATGAAACATTGTACAACATGCTGTTATCTATTAAACTGATTTCCCTGAAGGAGCAGTTGATACTTTCATATATTCCAGCAAAGCTAATCATGCCAGGCCCCCTTAGCAGGACTTACCTTATAATCACATGTTCAAATGTTCCACCTGGGGGCCGGTGCTGTGGCATAGCAGGTAAAGCTGCCATCTGCAGTGCCAGCATCCCATATGAGCGCTGGTTCAAGACCTAGCTGTTCCACTTCCAATCTAGCTCTCTGCTATGGCTTGGGAAGGCAGTAGAAGATGGCTCAAGTCCTTGGGCCCCTGCACCCGTGTGGGAGACCTGGGAGAAGCTCCTTGCTCCTGGCTTCAGATCGGCACAGCTCTGGCCATTGCAGCCATTTGGGGAGTGAACCAGTGGACAGAAGATCTCTCTCTCTCTGTTTCTGCCTCTCTGTAACTCCGCCTTTCAAATAAATAAATCTTTAAAAAAAATATGTTCCACCTAAATCACAGCTTTGATACCACCTGAGTCTCAACTCTGAGACATCGCTGGATACGGTGCCCACATTGGGGAGCCACAGAACCATCAAGAATGCTTTCAAAGAAAAGAAATTGTCCACTGGAGCAAAACCATTGTTCCCCTCTGCCCGTTCTGTGGGCTCCCCAGAGGTCCTTGCCAGGGAAAGGCAGTAAGCTGTTTCCAGCACTTATCAGAGTTATGCGCTATACATTATTGTAGATGGATTTCCTAGAATAAATTTTTTGTATAACTCATTTCAACAGATAATAAATCAGGAAAGTATCTTTTCTCAAACTCATCTACATACCTGTT